ACAAGGGGAAGGGGAAAGGTTGGTCTGCACGGATCACTACATATAAATGACCTAATCGCTGCACAGATTAAAGAGTCTCGAATCTCCTTTGTATGGATACCTTCACACATAAATATAACCCATCATAATGAGACAGACATTGCAGCCAAATTAGCGCGTAACAAAGATGAAGTTGAATTAAATCTAGGTATCCCCATCTCTATTGTCAAAACTATATTGGTCCAAACACTCAGGTCTGATAGGAAAGAAATTACTGACTTTCAACGACCTGAAAACATTAGTATAAAAAGCTATGATTTGTTCAGATCTGAAACCTATGTCTATGGGCAGCACAAAACGTCCACTAGACTGTGCGACACAGTGGTTGCAAGGATCAGGTTGGGTTACCGTTACCTGTGGCAGGTGGCTACAGATGACGGGTCTCCCAATCCTGAGCACTCCAGGTGCAAACTCTGTGAGCAGGAACTACGGCATGATCTCCCGCACTACATCACCGAATGTCCAGTTATTAGACTTTAGACCTCCTTTTAGGCTTTTTTAGACCTCCTTTTAGACTTTTAGTACCACTGCTGCCTTATTCACTCTTGTGTTGATGATGATATCCTCATAATGCACCCGGAGTCTGTCAGTGCAGACACACATGCCTCTTGTGTGACTAACCATCCTGTGTGATGGGGATTTTTTTAGCACCACGTAGCTAGCTTTTTGACACTGTACTCCCCTTCATATAGTCTAGGGTAGCTGCACAAATGCAGATGTACCTAATATATTAATAATAAAAAAAGTGTGTTAAGCACGGGAGCTCCTAGAGTTCAACCCGTTCTCGCAAATTCGTAAAGTCAATATTGACTTATTAACTACGTGCATAGGTGATATACTAAACATAATAGATACCCTTAAAAAGCTTCATAGAAAACACCGACCTTACCTAACCTTGTTAGTATCTTAAGATAAGCATCTTATTGCTTCGTAATTACAATTATTACTTAACCTATACCTATTATAGGTTAGGTAATAATTGTAATTACGAAGCAATAAGATGCTTATCTTAAGATACTAAGTAGGTTAGGTAAGGTCGGTGTTTTCTATGAAGTTTTTTTAAGGGTATCTATTATGTTTAGTATATCACCTATGCACTTATTTAATAAGTCAATATTGACTTTACGAATTTGCGAGAACGGGTTGTAGAGTTAAGCATGCTGGCAGCACAAGGCATCACCAGGCCTAGGAGACCGGATGCAGTATGTGAAGGGTTAGGTTAGGGTTGAGGAGAAGGGGGGATGAGCAGCGGGGGTAGGGTGTGAAGATGAACCCTCGGGGAACACGAGGGTAGCTCACACGTGACCGTGAGCGATGTGCTCACCTAATTGTACTTACTCCATGTTATCAGTTGTGCACCATCCCTCACACAGACTCGGAGAGTTAAAACCTCACATTAACCAAAGGACCTTTTGTCGAGGTCTTCCTTCCAGCAGATCAAAGGCCTTTACCGGTCATTACACATGCACGTACACATGTTACTCTGAGGGTAAGGAGCATAGCGAGTCGTTTAGGACATTACTCTAGCCTGTCTACCCTTGAGGTTATCTTGAGGTTATCTTGAGGTTATCTTGAGATGATGATGATGTTAAAGATTCGCTACCTGGAACAAAAAGTTCCAAGTAACACGGGCTATGGTGAGCTCGTAGATAGTTATTATCTTGAGATGATTTCGGGGCTTTGGTGTCCCTGCGGCCCGGTCCTCGACCAGGCCTCCACCCCCAGGAAGCAGTCCGTTGACAGCTGACTAACACCCAGGTACCTATTTTACTACTAGGTAACAGGGGCATAGTGTGAAAGAAACTCTGCCCATTGTTTCTCGCCGGCGCCTGGGATCGAACCCGGGACCACAGGATCACAAGTCCAGCGTGCTGTCCGCTCGGCCGACCGGCTCCCACCCTCCATAGTGTTACCACATGAGCCAGAAACAGGTCTCACTCACCTCTCACAGTACTTAAACATTATGTACTCACCTAATTGTACTCACCTAATTGTGCTTGCGGGGGTTGAGCTTTGGCTCTTTGGTCCCGCCTCTCAACTGTCAATCAACTGGTGTACAGGTTCCTGAGCCTACTGGGCTCTATCATATCTACACTTGAAACTGTGTATGGAGTCAGCCTCCACCACATCACTTTATGTCTCAGAGGGCATCTGCTGCAGTTTTTGTCATAATATGACCTTTCACGTGGGTGAACCAGAAACACACCAGGAGGGAGGACGCAATCTATCACCTTAATAGTTTTAAGTCAAACGTGGAGCCAGGCCTTCTCATCTACACGAGCCAGAGAAGAGGAGACTAGTGAAGTGTATGGGGGGTAATGGGGCTCCCTCTCTCTTCCCCACACCCTCGCCACATCCAGCAACGTCCCTCTCTCATGCTCCAGGACTGTCTTGCTCCTTCACCTGTTCACCATCAGTCACTTGCCACTCTCCTTGGCCGTCAGACTGGCTGCATTTCTCC